TCATTACGTAGTTTAGGGAGATCGGGAATAGACTGACCCATTTTTCTTTTTCTTTTTTCTTTTTTTTATATAAAGACTTTTAAATATATTTTTTTGAGTTTTTATTTTTATTTTTATGGAATTTTGATTTTTTTTAAAAAATAAAGAATTCTAAAGAGGGAAGAAAATATTTTGGATTTTGATTTGAAAATTATTTTTGTTCTTTTTTTTTTCGAATGAAAGACTTCAGAAAAGAAGAAAAATATTTTTGGATTTTTTTTTTTTTTGGATTTTCTAAGGAAAGAATTCTAGAGAGGGAATCAAGGAAAGGGAAACTATTTTTGAATTTTCCTTTTTTTTGAAAATTGGGGCCGGAACCGATGAGGTTTGGCTACGTATCTCACATCCGGTGAGAATCAGACCCGCGTAGTTCAGTCAAATCTGGAAATAAAGTAAATAAACTAACTCTTTTTGTTTTTACTCATACAAATCATCCCATAAAAGCTCAAAACAAGAAAAATATTTTGGATTTTTTTTTTTTTGGATTTTTTTTTTTGAATATTCCGAAGAAAAACTTTTTTAAAAAAGAAAGAAAATATTTTGGATTTTTTTTTTTGTAAATTTAAAAAGACAGAAAATATTTGTTTTTTGGATCTTGAATATTTTTTTTTGAATTTAGGGAGAGATTTTTTTTTTTTAAAAGGAAGAAAATATTTTTTGATTTTTGGATTTGACGTCTCAAAGAAAGACTTTTAAAGAAGGAATTAAAGAAAAATATTTGTTTGGATTTTTGAAAATTGGGGGCCGAAACCGATGAGGTTTGCCTACGTATCTCACATCCCGGTGAGAATCAGGCCCGCGTAATTCAGTCAAAATTAATAAATAAAAATATTTTGAAAATTGTGATTTTACCCATTAGAACCCTTCAAAACTTTGTTTTTAAAAAAATGGGAACTTTATGAAAATGTGGAGGAAATATTCTCTTTCTCTCTCCTCTGTTTAATCAATCTATCCTAAAGCCGGTCAACATTTGAGTAAAGCCTACCAAGTAATGTTACATATAGCACAGAAAATGCACATGCTCGTATAAAAAATTGGTACATGTCTTAGACGGGCCCATCCTCTGTGCCGAGTCCCACTAAATCTAATGCACATGGTGCAAATAAAGCGTAGCCTACTAGGGATATTCATTTCTTGTGGCTTGTTCTTCTAAGTTTTCAAATTCTAAAGGAGATGATATCTAGACCTGGCTTACCCGGGCGGACAATCCGAGCCGAGGAGTGTCAAGCACCAGTAGTAGAACAACACTGGCTAGCTAACGGCTCTCCCGCCTAAACATGTGTGGCTGAATCCTTCACCAGAAGCTGGTAGACTAACTGGCTTTACCTCAAGACAGAAATTTTGTGATACTGGTAGGCAAACACAACATAACTAACTATCAGAAGAATTAGAGGGGTGCGAAAGAGGATACAATTTATATGTACAGTTCAACAATACTAAAGAGGTAAAAAGTGGACAAGTAGCACATTAGACCCAAATAAATCACAATATATGCAAAAATAATAAAGCCAAATAAAGTCAATATACAAGCTCGAATTCTTAAGAGTTCCCCAGCAGAGTCGCCAGAGTTGTCACACCCATTTTCTACCCCAAAAAAATATGTGTGTTATTGTTGTGGGTTAAAGAGTTTTTCAAATTAAAGTGACAAATTTGAGTAGGGATTATTTTATTTACAGAGTCGCCACTTGGAATTAATTTTTGGTGTTCCAAGTCACCTTTTATTTGAATCCCTAGTCAAAGTAATGTTTGACTCTATTATTATTGGTCTGCGAAAACAAAGTTCGGATAAGGAATTCTATTGACCGGGGAGAAGGTGTAAGGCATTCCCCGAGTCCCGTGGTTCTAGCACGGTCGCTTTATTGACTACAACTTGGCTTGAATTAATTTTAGATAAACTGTGATTTATTGGTTTTCATGTTTTATCTGTCCGCTTTTATATTAAAATATAGAATTGTCTTTGAAACGAATCACGTGTGTGAATTCGTTTTGTTTATTGTGCCAAAATCATGTCACGTGTATGTGCACACAATTAATAGCATTTTTATTATATTTAAGGTTGTTTCGCCCAAAGCTGCGCGAACGCATACCTTGATTTTAGTTTTGGGAATCGTAATTATGTCATGCGAATGTATACATAATCACGATGATTTAATTAATTATGAGTACGCCTAAAGCATTCTAGCACATTCATGATTTGTTTCTTTCCTAAGTTTGAGATTATTGTGAAGGCCATGAATTATGGAATTACTTGTAGAAGAAGTGTATGATTTTAGATATCTGAATAAATAAACCATCATATACCAATACCCTACAACCCAGCAATTGAAGCCTAAACTTATTAGGGTCCAAATCTTTCCAACTTTAAAGCAAGTTTGAATACCATATTTCCAAAAACATGATTAAGCATATAGCATTTAAGGACTAACTTACATTATTATTTATAAAATTTAAAGGCAAATAAATAAAATCACATGAAATAAGATAAAAAGAACAAAGGGAAGAATAAACCTTTAATGCAAAATTTTCAATTAAATGAGTCTCCAAGAACAGGTACAATAACTCAGACGAACGTCGAACAAGCATAAGCGACGAATAACATCAAACCTAGTGAACAGAGCTCCAACTGAATCCTCGACCTCGACTATTGACTCGTGTAAAAAAAGTTGACACAAGTAGAAATTCCCTTAGCGCAGAAGAAGAAAAAATAATTTCTCTCAATTCCCTCCTCCCTTCTTTTTTTCTCCTTCTCCCTCTCCCTCTCTCCTCACATTTCTCTTCTATTTATAGAAAAAAAATCGGAATTTTTTCAGATTTGTTTTAATTATTTTATTATTTTATTATTTTTTAATTAAAAAAAATTCCCACTTTCCATTTTTCTTCTTTTAAAAAAAAAAAAAATAATTCCCCACTTTCCTTTATTTATTTATTTTTTTTAATTTCTCACTTTTTACTTTTTTTTTTCACTTAGTTTACTTTTCTTTTTTTTTAAATTTCCTCTTATCTTACTTTTCTTTTTTCTTTTAATTTTTACTCTTTTACTTTTTTTAAAAAAAAATAAAAATTCAGCTACGTTTACTTTTATTTTTTAATTCCAACTTCTTTTACTTTTCATTTTTTAAATTTCCATATTCTTTTACTTTTATTTTTTTAATTTTTCACTTTCTTTTACTTTTTTAAAAAAATAATTTCCACCTACTTTTACTTTTACTTTTTTTATTCCACCATTTTAATTTTTCTATTATTTTATTCCCATCCGAAAATTAAAAAAAAATATTTAATTTTTTTGGTTTTTTTAAAATTTATTTTATTTAAAATTAAAGATAAAAAATAAAAATAATAGTAATAATTTGACCTTTTAAATTATTTTTAATTCTTGCCCTATATAAAAAAAAATGTAACAAAGCTAAACAAATATATATTAAATTTTTAAAAGTAATTACATAGTAGAAGGTGGTAAAAATTCAAATATAGTAAAAAATTAGGTGCTCACAATAGCATTTTCTGATTAATAATTTAATATACATAACATACCTTTGGTTCTAGCCTTAAAGCCAACCAGTTTTGCTTCACCCTATTCAGGATGTCTTTGGTATGGAGGAAATAATTAAATACCACTGCAAAAGAAATCCAAACACAAATATGGAGAAATTAAAGAGAGAAAAGTGACTGAGGTTACGAACAGTGGCATTGACAGTGTAACCACGCTGAAGCTATGAAACCAGAGGCCCCAGTCACACATACCACCTTCCCTTTTCCAGTACTCTTGCTTTCCATTGCCACATACTAGTTCCAGTACTGATTCAGAACCAATGCATATATAGTAAGGGACAATTTCTTGTATTTTTGTTAGCTTGTTGTTTATTGAATTTGGACATATTATGCTCTTGTTTGCATTCACAAATTAGTCTCCACGTGAAAAGAATCAAAACCATTTATCTTATGGTTGTGTTTGTTTCAGCCTTATTCAACTAATTTACTTAGCTGGTTTGGTTTGTGAACAAGTTATATTGTATTATAATGTAAAATGTTTGATTTTACACTAAATAAACTTGGGTAAACTTTTATTTTAAATTTTAAGTTGCTTTCTTAAAAAACTTTGAGACAAGAGTTTTGAATAAAGGCAAATGTGCCATTTTGAGTTTTACCCCAGTATTAGTAATTTGGAAATAATTATCGCACCTGAAGTATGGTATAAAATTAATACCACAATTGTGGTATAAATAATCCTAGGGTTGCTTATAACCGAAATAAAAATTTTAACCAGTAATTTCACATTTTATCCCGAGATTTTTATGAGTACTAATCTTGTAAATTGTCACAGGCTCATAACTCGCAAGAACATGTCTCGAATAAGCAGAGTTTTTAACTCTGATGGAGGTCTTATCCCTCACATTTCAATCTCCCCCTTTGAAAGACATAGTTTTGATGAGATTCTGGGCATTCTTTTGGTATGTATTTTTCAGGGATGAACTGGCAAAATTTGGTGAAGTTTTTAACAGAAGAATTTAACACTCGGGGTGAAATCTTCTTTCCTGTTAGCATGGGCTAGAGCTGAAGCGACAAGAATACACCTCATGCTTGTAAATATGTTTTTGAGTATATGAAAAATTATGTTTATAGGTGTGAAAAGCCTTTGAAAAAGTAAATTAAAATTACGAGAATAATACTAATGGTATGGAAAAGAAATACGCCTTACTACTTACTAACCTTGTATCCTAATTTTTCGACCTCTACATGCTCCTATCAAGCGATGGTGGATAAGTACCTATTGTGTGTAATTAGTAGGTATATTGTGGCGTAGTGCTAATAAGTATGATATTAGTATGTATTCTTCCTCCCCCCCAAAAAAATAAATAAATAAGCATGTACTCCATTACTAGTATGCAAATAGTAGGGTCAGTAAGCTCAAGAGTTTCACTAAAGAATTATGACCACTAATCTCAGTATAATAGCCACTACTATAGAAGGAAAGATAAATTTGATTACTCTTCTTTCTATATGCTCGTTGAACCAACATGCAACAAGTAGAATCCAGGTAAGTAAATTGACATAACATCAGAGAAATCCAGAGCCAGGAGCTCCTTTGACACCAAGTACAATAAAATGTGTGGAAACTCCAAGAGCAGCAGGCTCTAAATTTGGCAATAGATGAACAATGTTTCAATGTATTCACCTACTGCTTGTTCAAATCTTGAGGAAGTTCTTCTCTATCAAGCTTTCAACAGTGTCCTTCACGCTCAACTCAAGAGATGTGAAATTGACGCCTAAACTTTTTGCTCTTTCGCTTGATACTTGGAAGGTTGGGATAAGAGGTAATCCATCTTCAAAACTACATCCCAATTTAAGAACTATGAGACCTCAAGTTGCTTTAAATAGAACAAAATTTTCTTAAATAAAAGATCACTTAAGCTTAACGAAGCAAAACATGTTCAATTTCACTTCTAAGAGTAGTTGGAGATCCCAAATAATTATTGGATTTCAGTCAGATGAACTGACAGTGTAAGGATTTTCTACACTAACAATGTAATTTAACCTATGATAGTTGATAAGAATTCTTCAAAACGCGTAGTTTGATCGTTTATACAAATGGAGTGAAATTTCAACTCTTATGTAAACCACTGTCAAAAGAGCACTCAAGTTGTTAAGGAGGGGATCAGAAACTTGTAATGTTTATCCTTTTCAAAACTTTTAACTACTCAGTAACTGTAAACTTATTAAATTTCCTCTGCCTTTGTTGTTCTCCTATTTTGAATCTTCACATCAATTGATGTTTTTTCTTTGCTGAAAAGAAGATGGTAATGAAAACTATTCAGTATCAAGAAAATTATAACAGTGATATTGGCAATACTTACTTCTCAGGGAGAGTGATGGAAGGGTAAAGCTTTTGTACAATCTTCAAAACCAAAGAAGAATATCCATTTACCCCAACTAAACAATATCTTCCATTTGCTGAAGGGACCTCAAATGCTAGTATATGTGCATTAGCAACATCCCTAACATCGACAAATCTATATATTCCGCCAGACCATGCTTCTTTTCCTTCATCAAACAAAGACAATATATATGTTAAACTTTAGTACTTACTATTTATTATCAAACTTTGAACGCCAAACAAGGAGAGAAGCCAAAAAAAAAAAGTTGTAGCTAAATAAAATGAGTCATCTACATATCAATTGAGCCGGCAATTTTTCATACTATTTCACCACACAACTTTGAAAAGCTTTGCAAGTGTTTTGAAACAGCTTATTTGGTTAAGTTTTTCAGGAACATATGCTTTTGAAACTTCTTGGAAGCACTACTTATCAAAACCTTAAAAGATCACGACTATCTACACAAGTTTGTTTTCCATACACTTTTTCTCGAAATACTACTCCAAAGAGCTTTTCCAAAATGTTGCCCAAATGGTAAAGAAAAACGATATCTAACTATCTAACCACTAATTTTGAGTGAAACCATAGCGCCTTTTGCTTTTATATCATGACTCCTGTGTTGGTAGTGTGTGAACAAAGCCCCACATGGAAAGTAGGAAAAAAATAAGCTACTTATAAGGAATTGGATACTCTTAATGGTGTGAGGCCTTTTGGGAAAATCGTGCACGCTTGGCTAAAAGCAGACAATATCACACCATGTTAAGAGTATCTTTGGGCCATTTTAGCCCAACATCGTGATGAAGCCTCAAAGGAGATAAGGTTAAGTTCCAGGTATGCCTTTTGCAGGCTTGAAAACCAGAGGGAAGACGGAAGGTTAAGAAGGGACTTTGGCAGCATTTACCAAACTCAACATTTCATTCGCAAAATATCTGATTTTTGTTCAGAGTTAATATTGCGTGAGATAAAATAAAGAGGGTTAACGATTGTTCCCGTAAAATATTCATCAGTGGCAGAGTAACAAATAGAAAGTAGGCTTTCTGAAAATCTTACTTCTGTATATGATGGTTCTTCACATTATACTCTTTAAGGGCTTAGAAAACAAAATTGTTAGAGAACTATTTCAGAAGCAGAAAGCTGTGTTTTGAATCGAGGAAACACTAAATAACAGAAAATATATTGACACAAAAGCTGTTTCCAGTTAAATGTCACTGAACAAACTTACCTTCTTTTATGAAGTTCACTATAGCCTCGCACGAGAAATTGAGCGTAGGCTGCAGAAGTGGACCGATGACTAGACCTGGATGAAGTGTAACCAAGTCCAACCCATTCTCCTTTGCAAATTTCCAAGCAGCTTCCTCAGCCAAGGTTTTGGAGAGTTGATACCATTCCTGCAAACAAGTAGACCTTCAAAATAAGCCAATTGTGAAGAGAATGCTGATATCTTCTATTACTTTCTCAAATCCATCTACCAAATGGAGCATATAATACTACCTTAAAACTGAGACGTTTAGGAAAGAGATAAAAGGTAGTTTAGACAAATATTCATATGATTAAGGCTATTAGATGTTTCTTAATGTGTGTACAAAAACCTTAAAAGACAACAACATGGACTAAATGTAATAGTTATCTTAGCATCTCAAGACAGATAACGCTAATTAAGTCAGCGTAAAACGCAGATTAGGTCAAGATAGCACGTACACATGTAAGGACAAATGTGAAGGGTAAATAATACAATTTGTCACAAGTATAACAAAGGATCAAATTAAGATATTTCTATAGTTGAGGTATAAATTTGGACTTTTTCCCACAATAACAAAAGATGTGGAAGAGATCATTTGAGAAAAGGGCACAAACAACCAAATCAACTTCCAATGCAACTCCGAGAAAGACAGTCATATTCAAACCTCTTACTACATTAATCAACGGATAAGACTCATCAATTGAAAAGAACTACCAATGTATAGACCACATGGTACCTTTCTTTCCTCACAGAGTTCTGCATCTGAATACCAAGTCTCATCAGCTACAGCTCCAGGGGTTGACATGTTTTTATTGCAAATAACAGAAGCGGTAGAAGAGGTTATGACCACTCTTCTAACAGATGTTGATTTGGTACATGACCTAAGGACGTTTAATGTTCCGCTCACAGCAGGGTCTACAAGTTCCTCCTTAAAGATGGAGAAAGAGAATATTTTATTAGTATGCAATTAAAGCATCCACAAATCTATTTAACTGCAAAATCGAAGCTGCAATGCACATGTTCCTCCTTAAAGATATCTCTTGACATTTTTGATAGAGTTCTAGTGTTTTGATGGGCAAATGTAAGAACTATTCGGAAAATGTCTGAAACAGAAAAATCAAAGGAAGCTACACCATTGTTTAAGATCCAAAAGGCTTTCAAATTTATTATCTTCATCTTTCAAATGAAATAGTAAAGTTGTCATGTGCATTCACTTTAGTATTTTGTTGCTTAAAGTAAAGCACAAATCCATATCAAACCATATGTAACAAATGCTATTTTCCTTCCTGGGAAGTAATAAAAGACATACAACAGTATTTGGAAGCGACAAGAGTAACTCCTTTGTTATAGTAATTCATCCAACCCAGCCAAGTTTAAACAGGTTGGATCATCCATTTGTTTACTTAACTCGACAAAAGTTGAACTTGAAATGATTCATCATATATATACTTTTGAGTCAAAACGTGTCAAATATTATAAACCAACTGGTCAAAATGCAACCAAAACCCCAAACATACAAAGCCAAATTTGCAGATTGGGGACTAAGTAGATTCGAAAGAATTTAAGCTAATAATTTAAGAAAAATACATTAGCTTTCACGTCTTTTTTTTTCTTTTTCAAAAAGCAAAATGAAAAAGGAGTTGATGTTGGGTCATATTAGGTAGGTTGGGTTATGATGACCTGTTATTTGACACATCTTGACACGACCTAATTTGACACAAGCAAGTTTTGGATAAGTTGGGTCATAACTCCCTTATTGAATTGACTCATTTTGACCCAACAAAATCCATTTGTCACCTCTAGCACGAACCAAAGACATTAGTACAGTGATCTAGTCGAAGACTGCAAGAAAGTAGGTTTCTGACCTTGGATTTAGCTGTGAGAGAAACAGGTGATGCTGTATGAAAGACACCTTCACAACCATCAACGGCAGGATCAAACGAATGCTCACCAAGTAACTCAGCTTTGAAAAGATGCAGCCTCTCTTTAGCTCCGTCAAGGCCTAACAGGTGATCCACTTTACTCGCATCCTCTGCGTGTTTATAACTAATATTTTAGAGGAAGGAAACACTCTTAAACATTCATAGAATTAATAGCAACAGCTGAGCCCATGATCTCATAAAACTATTGCAGAATTTGTATTCTGTCCTGACTATGAAATGTATGTGAAACCACCATTTCGATTTGACTAAAACAAGAACTGAATGTACATAACATTTCTAAAAGTCAATCAAATCAATAGCTTACAATCTCAGTGACTTTAATATTATACTTCAACATGACAAGAAGCAAATTTGTGAGTCTACTGTAATACTAGGTAAAGTTAAGTTATTTTTAACGCGACAAAACATATATTTGTAATTTTACTATTATACTCTCCCGATCTCGTTTATGTGAACCTATTTCCTTTTTGGTCCGTACCAAAAAAAATTATCCCTTTCTAAATTTAGAAACAATTTAACTTAAACTTTTAATTTTACCCTCAGTGAGAAGCTTTTAGAGCCACACAAATACTCTGGCATGTTTCACACCACAAGTTTCAAAAGAATTATAGTCACACAAATGTTATGACTTGTTTAGAACCACAAGTTTTAAAAGTCTTCATTTCTTTCTTAAACTCCGTGTCCAGTCAAATAAGTTCACATAAATTGAAACGGAGGGAGTAGTAGATAAAACTCAATGACTATACGTGAAATTAACTCTATTTTCTGATGATAGATATCAGAGTCCGCTATTGAAATATATCATTTGTGCTTATTTAGTGAAAATTTTAACATATATACAGCAGGGTTTGAGCCAAAGCAATTGGTTTTGAATGAACCCATTGGCAATAGCCTTAAACACTATATATGTCCCTTGGCCAGTCCTATTCTAGTTCTACCATCTATATATAAAAAGAATAACTTCCCTATTAGCAGGGGCGGATCCAGCCTATTACGTGTGGGTTCCCGGAAACCCAGTAGCTTTTGGATATACCATGTATATATATTACAAAATCCACTAAATATCCATAAATATTTAATTGTGAACCCATTTACTTATTGTATATTTATTTAAGGTCGCTGTAGGAACCCATAAACTTTAAATTCTTGATTCGCCTCTGCCTATTAGCCGTTATAGCTTCTCATAACTTTTACTATGAATTAGGAAAAGAAATATACATCGCGCGAGCTGCTGAAGTATATTAACTTCATCTAAATCTTGGAATCAGATAGTGCGCAACATGAATAATAGGAGAAGCTTTTGGACCTTGGTACACACGTTGACCAATAAAATAAAATCAATCCAGAAATCAAATAGAATAAACAAGCTCAAAAGTATATAACGTTGAACTGATACGCAAAAATACCACTGCAAAAGAAATCAAAAAACATAGAGAGAATCAAGAGAGAGAGAGAGAGAGAGCTGACTGAGGTTGCGAACAGTGGCATTGACAGTGTAACCACGTTGAAGTAGCATCTTAACAAGCCATGAAGCTATGAAACCAGAGGCCCCTGTTACACATACAACCTTTCCTTCTCCGCCTCCGGAACTCTTGCTTTCCATTGCCCAGATACTAGTTCTAGTGATTAATTCAGAGCCAATGCTGAGAAAGTAAACTATGCCTTCCCTTTTTTCTCATTTTCCTTTTCTGTTTTGGTGTGAGGACGGCTGCTCAGGTAGTGGGAACGAAAACAAAAACAAAAACAAAAACAAAAACAAAAATGCAAGAATCTCAAATATTAAAGTCATAGTAGCACCACATGATAGGATAAATTAACCTAAAGTTTTGAATTCGAGTCACCCAAGAGCAACCCAAGAGCAAGTTCTAAAATTTTTGAAGAGAGATAACGTATGTGTACACACTAACCTGTAACCTTTCCAGACGTTGTTGTTGTGAGAGTATTGGACACTGAAACAAAAATAATTTTAAATAATTTATTTTTCTTCCTACCAAACACGCCTTATATACATACAGACTTTGTCATTGCAAAATAGGACAGCAATGCAATAAATAAATAAATAAATTATGATGTAAGATTTAAAAAATGAAAATGTTAAAAAAAGAAAGAAAGTAAGTAATGCTGTTAGCATGATGCGATACCAAGTTTGATGGTTACAAGTGGTGTCAGTAAATACAACTAACAACAATGTAAATGAAGAAAAAGTAAAAAAAATAGTTGAGTACTGTTGAAAAAGAGTTAAGACTTGTAGGTATGATAGAGTTTTTAGCCAAGAGAGGGTAAGTCTATTTTTGTCCCTTAAATATAATTCTGAGCATATTTAGCCCCTTAAGTATGCTAAAGTGGAGCACCTTTAGTCGCTTTAGTCTTACTGACACGATGTGTTCAAAAACTAACGGTGTTACCCAACTCTGATTCATGAAGCAAATCTTCTGCTCTGAAGCAAAACATTTCCTCTCCTTTTATTGGATAACGCAAATTATCACTTTAATTCCTCATTTTTAGATAATGTCTTCTAAAATTTTGACCTTGAAAATATCTCCTATACAAAAAATATACAATTTTTTTTACAAATTTTATACATTTTTTCGGCTATTATTTTTACAGCGGCTATACAGTGTCATTTTCTTATTGAAAACTGGTACAAAATGGGATATTTTAAGGTCAAAATTTTAGAAGACATTATCTAAAAATAAGGAATTAAAGTGATAATTTGCGTTATCCAATAAAAGGAGAGGAAACGTTTTGTTTCAGAGCAGAAAATTTGCTTCATGAATCAGAGTTGGGTAATACCGTTGGTTTTTGAACATATTATGTCACTGAGACTAAAGGTGCTCCACTTTAGCATACTTAAGGGACTAAATATGCTCAGAGTTATATTTAAGGGACCAAAATAGATCTACGCTCAAAGAAGAGATAATATTGGTCAAAAAATTCGCGTATGATACAATAAGTTACAAATATATTATTTTAACCCAAATTAAAAGTCACATTATTATATTAGAAAAATAAAACTGGAGTATTATTCGAGCTCAAACACTTGTTCTGAACTCGAAAACAGCAAGAAAAAGCCTTTAAGTGACCTCGTAAAACTTGGTAATTTCATTTTCATACCGATTTTAATTTTTTTGGTCATTTTCTCCCGAACCTGCGACGACTTAACAGTAGATCCTCACCTAAAACTCCAGATCTCATACATTTCTCGGCTTCGTCATCAGCAATTTCAATGGATTCGGAAGATCCGATGGACGAGGCATCACCGGTCACCGGACTTCTCCCACTGGCGTCAGCTTCACAACAGCCTTATGTCTCCGAACTTCTCTCTTTCACTCTCGATCGCCTTCACAAAGTACTACTTAAATGCAATCTCCGCAAGTTTGAAATGTACTAGTTTATTTAAATTCATTTGAATTGATTTTTTTTTTTTTAAATTTGTGCAGGAACCGGAGCTTCTGAGAGTGGATGCGGAGAGAATTCGGAGGCAGATGCAAGAGGTTGCCGTTGGAAATTATCGCGCTTTTATTTCTGCTGCTGATGCACTGCATGCCATTCGCGAAGAAGTTTCTTCTGTTGATAAGCATCTTGAATCCTTGGTAATTTTCATATTTCCTTGCAGAAATTTTGTTAATTGATTTGATTTTGAGTTGTTGAATTGCTATTTTAGCTCTTATATAATTCTGAAAGTGCATTTTAGTGTACTAACGAGATAGTAATCCTAAGGACTAAGTGAGACTGATATTATAAGAATTGAGTTCATCAGTTGCATTGCTATTATAGCTAGAATATATATCCAGTAAAAGTGTGAGTGGAATAGGCTTAGTGCATGAATCCTAGTTGGTTAATGGCTTTCTTGAATAAGATTTAAACTAGCTATACAAAGCTTCTAAAGACCCTTCTGGATAACTTATTCAATTTAGGGTGTGCCTTATAGTTGGCTTCAATGTTCTGTTATTTCTTTCTGTAAGTGGGAATACACTATTCATCTTTTTCTCATATAAATTCTTTTTAGGAAGAACAAGGACGTAAACACTTACCATCGTGTTTCTTGTTTGCAGATCGATGAGATTCCTAAGCTAACTTCTGGTTGCAGCGAGTTCAGCACCTCTGCAGAACATATCTTGGAGAAGAGGAAAATGAACCAAACATTGCTTGCAAATCATAGTACTCTGCTGGACTTGCTTGAAATTCCTCAGCTAATGGACACGTATGTTTTCGTCAATGCTGTAAGGATCACACGTTAGAATTGAATCGGTATCCATGATTTTGAAGGGATAAAATGTCCATGGTATTTGTTTTTGATGTAGATTACATTCCAAAGTGCAGTTTATGTGTGTGACTGGTAAATTTGCGAGAGGATTCATTTTGGTGCAAACATTGTAGCCAAGTTATCATATCCAACTTTTCTTCTTCTCTTTTTACGAGGGAGGGATAGCCTAGTGGAAAGGACCTTTTACCTCAATCATGAGGTTAGGAATTTGAATCACCAAGAGAGTAAAGTGAGAAATTGTCGTTTGCTCCTATGCATTGGGGTTTGGGGTTGTGGTTTAGCATATGAAAATGATCAAGTTTTGCGTTTATCTGGGCGATGAACAAAGTTGTGTAGTTATGCACTCAAGGGTATGGCCTAGTAGTCAATGGAGTGGGCTGAGAACCATGAGGTATCAGATTCAAATTCCAGCGGAGACAAAAACACTCGGTGATTTCTTCCCATGTGTCCATGCCTTGGTGGGAGAGTTACTTGGTACCTGTTGCTGGTGGGAGGTAGCATGTATCCCGTGGTATAAGTCGAGGTGCGCACAAGCTGACCCGGACACCACGATTATTAAAAAAAAAGTCGTGTAGTTCTTGGAGCCATTACAGCTGCTAAACCTGGAGCTTCAGCCTGAATTATCTTGCATAGCACAGCCATGCTAGGAGTCAAGCTTGAAAAGAAGTTTTATGTGTCAGAACATAATATGTATAATTGTTAGAACTAAACAGTATCATTATTTTAACCTGCCGTGCTTCATCGGTGCTAGACTTAATGAATCTCTTCACTTTGCAGATGTGTGAGGAATGGGAACTATGATGAAGCTCTTGATTTAGAAGCATTTGTTTCCAAGCTTTCAACAATGCACCCCAAGTGAGTTCTTTTCTTTGGTTTCCAGTATGAACTGATTTTAACTGAATTTGATGAAAAATTATTAAGGTACTTTTGCTTCTTTTTCATCCTCCCCTGAAGGTTACCAGTCATTCAAGCACTTGCTGCAGAAGTTCGGCAGACTACCCAATCTCTTCTTTCTCAGCTTCTCCAAAGACTTAGATCAAACATTCAGGTGACTTCTCGCATAGATTATGTATATCATGTTACAGTGATGCTATTGGCGCATACTTGAATGGAAATTCTCCATAAATTATGAAGCTTAAGACCTTACTGTTTACAATTTATTGGTGCAGTTGCCAGAATGTCTGCGTATCATCGGATACTTGCGTCGAATAGGGGTGTTCAACGAGTATGAGATGCGCTTACAGGTGAGACTGATTCATTTGAACAACACCGGGTTTTACGCCTACGCCTACATCTTCCATTTGCTTTTGGTCTTCATTAATTGCATTTAGTTCATTATTTTTACCAAGAGCTGACCAATTTTGCCCCTTCAACAGTTTCTAAGATGCCGTGAGGCCTGGCTTTCTGGAATCCTCGATGACTTGGACCAGAGAAATGCTTATGAATACCTTAAAGGGATGATAAATTGTCATCGAATGCATCTCTTTGATGTTGTTAACCAGTACCGTGCAATATTTGCTGATGATACTTCAGGGAGGGAAGAAAACTATGATGGTGGGCTTCTCTTCAGTTGGGCCATGCACCAAATTTCTTCCCACCTCAGAACTCTAAAAATGATGCTACCAAAGATCACTGAAGGAGGTTCTTTGTCGAACATTCTGGATCAGTGTATGGTGAGCACATATTTATCTGTGCCAGACTGCTCGTTTGAAATCATTTTGCTTTAGTAAAATGCCTATTTGTCAAAAAAGAGAGAGTAAAAGTCTTGGATGTGATTGACTTTGATGTCTTCTGCTTGTAATCACCTTGAATACTAAACATGTGAAAGAAAAGGTATAGCGTTATGAATACAGAACAACGCGAGTCGTAAGCTCCCAGAAATGGTTGGAGAAAGATAGCTTTTAAGTTTGTCCTTACCATTCAAGTCTCTTGTTGCACTTTGGCCATCCTGCTAGAAGCATTCTAGATCAAGATTTTGACATGATTTTCGAGAGGCAAAAAGCAGGCAACTGTATTTTCTTCTCTCTCTCTCTCTCTGGTGGGGAAGGAAGGAGAGTGGTGTAGGACAAGCAAAAAAACATACTTACCTTTGGGTAATCTCATCTGATGAGCTAGTCCTAAGGGCCATATAACTCAAAATCTAGACAGCAACCTAAAAGAGTAGAGTTGAAATCCATCCGTTTGTTTCCCTCTAATCGCTTTGCTTTACTCGGTCAATTTCAATTCTCAACCTATCTCTTTGTCACGTTTTGGGGACAATTTCGTTATCCATCTTCTTCGTCACATTTTCTGAATCTTTGTCCGCTCTTTGGCCCCTAACTTCCGTGAAACCAAAGCAGATGGCATTAACTTTCTTGTCCTTCTTCCACATTTACAATAGAAAATAAGTAGGCTTCAATTCTCTGCAGGCTGAAAAGTTCAATCACTCGACAGATCCAAAATCTAAACTGACTTGGCTCTGATGGCATAAGATAAAGTAGAAAGTTCTTTGTTGTATATTCTAGTATAATGAGCTATTAGTTAAAGAATGCTTGCAGACTAGTTGGCGGCAAAAATCGAGGCCGCTCTGGCTAAAGGAGGGGGATTCGAATACCAAGTTTTTTCATAGGGTGGCGGTCGCAAATCGAAGGAGAAACTTCATAGAGTCCTTAGTTGTGGATGGGGTGAGGATTGAGGGAGAGGAGGAAGTAAAAG